TGGTGTTGTTGGTACTGTTTTCTCTTGGGTTCTTTCGATGATCTACTGTTGTTGTTCAGTTTGCTCGGTTCTGTTGTGTTTGGTTTTCTGGCGGTGTACTGTTGGTTCGTTCTCGGTGATACTTGACGCTCGGGGTTTCCCCTGTTGCATGGCCTCACCGGCTTTTATAACCCCCACCGATTGTTATGATTCCCGAAAAAAGGGGTTGTTGCTGTTGTGGCCGGTCATCCCGGGATGGGTCAGTCCCGGGATTTCGGCCGGCCGTTTCGCCTCTTGACGTTCGGTTACCTCTGTGCGGCGCCGTTGCACCCTGTGTTGACCCAAATGATATCTTAGGGTTTTTCAAACCCCAATCCCCAGTTACGGCACTGTGACAGACGTTAGAACCCTAATCTGTGCTCTGGGCTGGGTCAGGCCCAACTTGGCTCACTTGGACCCCAAAATGGACCTGAACAATTAAAATGAAAGTAAAATTAAAAAAAAATAAATAAATAAATAACAACGATAATGATAATAATATAAAATATTTTCTACAAACTATAATATATATTTTCAAAGTATTTTAAAATTATATATATATTTTTCTAAAACGTTTCAAAATTATATAGTTTCAAAAATGTTTTTTAAAACTATATATTATAAGTTTTCAAAATGATTTCAAAACTATATAATATATATTATATGTTTTCAAAAGTTTCTTTTTAAAAATTATTTATTTTAAAATGTTTTTAAAACCATATAATATATTTTCAAAAACGTTTTAAAAATTATATTTATTTTCAAAGTGTTTTAAAAACTATATATATAAATTTTCAAATATTTTCAAAACTATATTATATACATATATATGTATATATAAAAAAATGAGACGAAATGGGTGTCTACACCCCCTTTCCTTAGGTATTGTAACATTATCGATATTTTGGACTAAAATGCCCTTATTTCTTCAAAATATTATTCTTCTGTCATTGAATAATAAAAAATTTATGAGGTTAAATTACAAATTTATCCTTAAATTATTTTAGATTTACAAAAAAATTCTATAATTAAAATTTTATATGAAGTTCAGGGGTTAAAATAAATTTTACCCTTTCATTAAACCTTTTTTTATATTTTAATTTTGTAAAAAAATTATATAAATATTATGAATTTAATTTTTTAAAGAAAATATAAATATTTACAACTTGTAATATTATATAAATATATAATAAGGACAATTTGGTCAAATATACATTCCAATAATCTTTTATTCCTTTAACCAAACACGATAATCTTACATTACTGCTAAACAAACTAAAACAAAATACAACATTCCCAGTAATCCTATTCCCTGGTAATTTTTATTCACACTGGTAATCTTTTATTCCCACTGGTAATCTTACATTCCGTGAACCAAACGCACCCTAGGTTTGAATTAGATTTTGTCAAAATATTTGATCTTGATTTGGATAATTAGTAAATACATTAATATATAGAATTTTTAAATTTATAGGTAAGATAAAAAAATATAAAAGTTACATGATTAAATATAGGGACCTCTAAGAATTTTTATCATTAAGCACTTGGCTTCCACGTCACCTTTCAATCTATGATTTAACATTCGATGATCAAAATAGTAGTAATTGAAAGTTCAGTGAGTAAACTGAAACTTTTTAAATTTAACTGACCAAATTAAGAGTGAGAAGAAAGTTGATTGATGAAAATTTTAATTTATCCAAACTTCAAATACAAAGGATTAAATTTAATAAATTATTTAATTTGTTTCGAATTAGGAAAAAGTTGATAAGTTGTACAAGTTTTGAGGACTAAATAGTTAAAATATCAACCATGTCACCATCCCGTCTAATATTTAACGACCAATAACTTGTTTATAACAATAATTTAATTGAGTGACCCGTTTATAACATTTTTAAAAAGTGATAGATTTGTTACCAAACATATAATAGAGTGACATAGGTTGTATTTTACCCATAATTAAACTCCATATTCAAGCAATTAGTTATTAATTAATATGACACGAAATCCAACAATCTTGATTTCTTATTGCCATGGTTTTCAGAACCGGACCGGTCAGTGAACCGACCGTACTACCGGTTCATTGATTTAATCGGTCTTAAGAATCGGATTACGTCATAATTATTTAAAGAATTAAATAAAAAATAAAAAGTTTAGGTTGAACCAGTTTACGGTCCGGTCCGGTTCGACCTGTTCAAAGCTGGTTCGAAAGGTTCTTTGCGGTTCATTAGAATCGATTCAACCGAGGTATAATGGACCAGACCAGGCAGCGATTCCCAGTTGAACCGACTGGTCCGATTTTCAAACCTGTTCAAAGCAATGCTTATTGCTTATACTTTTCTTATTGCTTATACTTTTCATAAATATATATATATAGATATATATATATTATATATATATATATATATATATTGCAAACTTGACATCTTCAATGTTTGAATAACTAATTAATGGGCCTCTCACCGTTTGGGAAAGTAATAGTGCTCGTTCAATGTGAGTAAGCCCTACTAAACTTAATTTATCTCTAACTTTTGAAATTTTAAATCAAAACACATTAAATGATTAAACATGTTTGAATTTATGTTTTCAAAATAGTATAACTCATTAAAACTTAATTAATTCAAAAAAAATTGGTTGCCCTCCCGGTTCTAGCGTTTTCCCCTCACTAATCCAGACCGACCCGCTTCGTACACCTGACTTTGGTGGGTGAGTCTCTTAGCAGTGATTTTCTGCATACACAAGGACTCGAACTTGAGATCTTGCTTAAGCGAAATCAAACTGCTTACCACTTGAACCAACCCCAGTTAGTTCAAGATCGCAAATTTAAAACTTAATAGATTCATGTAATTGTTTTGAAAAACGGTGTTCAATTCTCTTGTTCATAACTCCCTTTTCTCAACCTGAATCGTAATTTTCAAAGCTTCTTTTAAAGGTTACAACTTTCAACCGTATAAAACTATTATAATTAATATATTATAAGTATCGGATTATATAATAACGGTGAAGGAATAACAAAAATATTAAAAATAGATTTGGCAACGTTGACGAATGAAGAAAGTTAAATCCACAGGAGATTTGGGAAGAGCATTCAAGAAACGGGTTCCATTTATATTAAGAAATTAGTAAAAATTTCAAAGACAGGATAATGAAAAGGGACAGTTCCTTTACCTAATCCTTAAATTAAGATTAAAGCCATAACAGAAAATGCTTAAAATTGACTCAATAATAATAAAAAAAAAACAAAACAAAAAACCAAACCGAGTGGTAAGTATCGCAGGTGGGTCAACCGTTGAACTTCTTGTGGTCGGAAACGTGAATGTTTCTTCGGTAGAGCTCTCGACATCCATGCAAAGTCAAAAGAGAGCATGCATTTTCTTGCCCACTTTGTTCCCCGTCACAACGCGTTAATTATTATTTTAATCCTACAAATATATATATATTTTTATTAATTTCCAAGAAGGTTTCTGTTTTTTTTCTTCTTCTAAATGTGAAAACATTCACACATGTTACATCATTGTAATCTAAAAAAAATTAACTCAATTTTCTTCGATTATAATATTAAATTTTAGATAGCGGATCGTTTACATTATTGAAATTTTAATTTATTCAATTATAATATTGAACTTTAATCTTAACTTCAATTATATCAGTGGGCCGTTATAATCCAAACGACCATCTTTCACAACAAGATCGATATTAATACGTTCACATTTCACTCGTCTTTCTTCTCATATGATTGATTTTCTAATAAACTCACTCGAAATTGAATTAAAAAATCTATCATTTTGTTTAAAAAAAGAAAAGACGAGACTCGTTAAAAACTCCTTCTTAACCCGATTAAGTCGAAGTTCAATCGTGATAGCATAAGGGAAAAAAAAGTGCTCAAATGATTTTATTAACCAATATCGAAAATCTAAACGGTGAAAAGAATTTAAAATTTACCAGTTTTAGGGGTTTGAAAACTTTCTTATATTTGAGATGTTTGTTCGAAAATCCAAACGGTAAGAAGGATTATTTTGAGAAGACGAACAACATACTTCAAAATTAACATCATCATATGGTTATCAAAAGAGATCATAGTATTATCATGTCGAACTTTTAAACGTATTTTTGTCAATTTTGAGTGAGTTTTGTGAAAAATCAATCCGATGAGAAGAAAGAGGAGTAAAATCCGAAAGTTTTGGTACGAATATTATGCCAAAAGACGAACAGTGATAGAAGGTGATTGGTCAACAGTGGCGATTGGAGAAGTATAGTGTCAAAAATGGAATTATTTAAAAATTTAGTGGTAAACCGATACACCCTTAAAGTTATGTGCCTAAAACAACGTTATTTGTGCATCAATAGTAATCACCTAAAATACCGTCATTTTGTTCATATTATTACATTGATAAAAAGATCTATCCACGTCATCGTGATATAATTAAAGTTAAAACTAAAACTTTAATGTTATACTTGAAAAATTGAAAGTAATTCATTGATAAAAACTATATACAACCGAAATTCAATTTACCCTAATCTTAATATTATTTACAAAATTGTTTTCTTATCTGTCACGTTGTATCAAATGTTAGCTGCATAGGTTCTTTTCAGAATCACGATTACTCTCCTGTTCAGACAAGAGCTTATTATCCTTGATTAAAGCATATCACTTAACCGATTATTTATGATATCAGAGCACTTTCCATTTCTAGTTTCATACCTGGACCTAGTTTTCCAATTACTTCTGTACTTGCACGGCCTACCGTAATAAATGTCTCCGTACATTACAACTGCCCAATGCTTTATAATTATTAATATTCACTCGCCGTTGAAAATTCTTTCGTGAACAGTGAAACCACAAGTACTGAGCAAATGGAAACAAGGAGAACAAGTCAATTCTTTTTGCCTATAAATACACATACATCCATGTCTGGTCCAGACCAAGCTTCCCTGTTCATTAGACTAAGTTTCTCTCAATTTGTTCTATTGTCCATTTTCAGACACTTGTTCAAGCTTAGTCTTGCAGAAACCCAACCAAGATGAAGTTTGGCAAGGAATTTGCGGCTCAAATGGTGCCGGAATGGCAAGGGGCATACATGGATTATGATTATCTCAAAACCCTTTTAAAAGACATTCAAGCTTTCAATCAAAGAACTAAGCAACAGCAATCCGTCCCACATGGATTGAAACGAAATCTGTCCATGTACAGAGCTTTCAGTGGGCTGTTGGTTCATAGACATGGTCAACATTCCGTCGATCCGACGTCGCCGGACGTCGAAGAGCATCCCATTTTGGTGAATTCCGTCAACCGGAACGGCTCACAGAAGTACGAGACGACGTTCCTTATGCAGGGGGAGAAAGGTGGAGAGTACGAACTGGTGTACTTCAGAAGGCTGGACGATGAGTTCAACAAAGTGGACAAGTTTTACAAGTCGAAGGTGGCCGAGGTAACGCAGGAGGCTGAGACCCTGAACAAGCAAATGGATGCTTTAATTGCTTTTAGAATCAAAGTGGAGAATCCTCAAGGATGGACGTGGCAAGACCAGTCCGACGACATGACTCGTCTCGCCTCGTCTGTAGAAGCATCAACCGCTGTGCTGGCGGCTACGACTCCGGCCGGTGCTAGAGCAAGCGGCAGTAAGCATTGTATATTTATACTAAAAATTAAAGCTCCGGGAAGTGAATTTTTGATGAATTACCCTTTGGTTGTTGATTTGCAGGAAGATCAGTTGAGCACATGGAGATCATCGAAGAAGGGCCGAGCGTGCACGATGATTCGGACGATGATAAGAAAGATACTGCAAAGCAAGATATTGAAGCGCAAAACATTGAAAAACCAGTGGTTGGTAATAAGTTAAAGGAACATAAACCAACTCCGTTGCAGATACTGGACCGTGTTAAAATGAATAACACACTCGCTACGCCTCGATCCACCATTAAAGTGTTTCTAAATATTCCTAAGCAGTCTGATTTGAAGTTTAACATGGAAAATCTGAAGAGAGTTGAGAATAAACTTAAGCGAGCTTTTGTTGAATTCTACCAGAAACTTCTCCTCCTCAAGAGTTACAGCTTCTTAAATACATTGGCTTTCTCAAAAATCATGAAGAAATATGACAAGGTATACATAAATGTACGCCTAATTTATGTGGAAAATTATTTAGATTTCTGTTTTTTTTTACATTGTTTTGTTCTTTATGATTGCAGATCAGTTCAAGGAATGCTTCGAAATCATACATGAACATGGTGGATAGTTCTTATCTAGGTAGCTCCGAAGAGGTTACGAAACTTATGGAAAGAGTTGAGGCTACATTCATCAAACACTTTGCAAACTCGAACCGCAGCAAAGGAATGAATATTTTAAGACCAAAACCTATGAAACAAAGACATACAACAACATTTTATACTGGTAGAACTTTGAATTTCATACACATAAATATAGGAAATTACCTAAGCAATTTACTTTTGGAAAGATATAACTCTGCAGTTCTTGAATATTTTCTCAGGCTGCTTTGCTGGATGCGGATTTGCTCTTGTAGTAGCACTTATTTTGATCATTCGTGCTCGGCATTTATTGGGTCAAGACGGAACGGACCAGTACATGGAAACCATGTTCCCTCTTTACAGGTAACGAATTAATCGTTTTTGGCTTAGAATCCCGTCCTTGCAATTGAAGTTGATTTCAGTCTGTATATAAACCATTTGTTTGACAATTTTGCAGTTTATTTGGATTCATTGTTCTGCATATGGTGATGTATGCCATCAATGTATACTTTTGGAGAAGGTATCGAGTTAACTATGCCTTCATATTTGGTTTCAAGCAAGGAACAGAGCTCGGGTACCGGGAAGTGCTCCTTGTAAGTTTTGGCCTTGCAGTAATGGCACTTGCTAGTGTGCTCTCTAATCTTGATATGGAGATGGATCCCAAAACTAATGATTATAAAGCATTCACCGAAATCGTCCCTTTGATCTTGGTGGTGGTAAGATCATTGAGTTCATTCATATTTTTATCTATATCTATATATCCAAATAGATATAACTTACAACTAATTTCTTGGTGTCTTACTTTGATCTGCAGGTGGTATTTGTCATACTGTTCTTGCCATTCAACATCCTATTTCGATCGAGTCGTTTCTTCTTCCTCACTTGTTTGTTTCACAGTTTATTAGCCCCTCTTTACAAGGTAAGCGCTCATTTTTCTTGAAGTGCTGGTAATATCCATGTTTGATGCATATAAGGATCTGTTCAAGTAATCTGTAAAATTCCTTTCAAATTGCAGGTCAGACTTCCGGATTTCTTCCTGGCAGACCAGTTAACTAGCCAGGTTTGTGATATGAACCTTTCATGTCTGGAAACAACAATACATTGCGTTGATAATAATTTCTTTTCAATCCATTGTTTTGTTTCAGGTTCAAGCATTTAGAAGTCTTGAGTTCTACATTTGCTACTATGGTTGGGGAGATTTCAGACACCGAGAAAACAGCTGCAATAGCAGCGATGTTTTCAACACTTTCAGCTTCATCGTCGCTGTGATTCCTTTCTGGTCTCGCATGCTTCAGTGCCTGCGTCGTTTTTTCGAAGAGAAAGACACCTTGCAAGGTTACAATGCAGGGAAATATTTCATCACCATCGTAGCCCTTTGTTTAAGAACTGCATACAGTCTTAACAAAGGGTTGAGTTGGGAAATATTGGCTCTCATCTTCTCGGTGGCTGCCGCCGTTATATGTACTTACTGGGACCTTGTCTACGATTGGGGACTTCTTCAACGCCATTCTAGGAACCGATGGCTGAGAGACAAACTCCTTATACGGCGAAAAAGTGTATACTTTGGTGCCATGGTAAGTCTAAGAACCAAGTATTCGAGCTCCGAACATGTTCAGTACGGTCGTATATGTGTTTAATGGGGTACATTCGTTGGAATGCAGGTCCTGAATGTTCTGCTGAGATTTGCATGGTTGCAAACAGTGTTCAATTTCAAGTTATTTGATTTGCATAGGCAAATCATGATCACCATTGTCGCCAGCCTCGAGATAATCCGGCGAGGGATGTGGAATTTCTTCAGGTAAACAAAGTGTGTTCTTTCCCAGTCATTAAGATTGGATCGGAATCTGACATGTTTGGAAACGTTATTTTCAGGTTAGAGAACGAGCATTTGAATAACGCTGGCAAGTATCGAGCATTCAAGTCGGTGCCATTGCCTTTCGACTATCATGAAGATGAAGATAAGGATGAATAGATAGTATAGAATTCAATAAGGAAAATATACAAGCGGAAGTAGTTGTAGATGTTGGGGATTAAGTGATTTCTTCGTAAATGAATGTTTTTGCGGTACAAAAAGATTAATTAGTGAATTTATTGATATGCTTTCCTATGCTTTAAACATAACAAAAATGTAAAAAATAAATAAAAGGAAATACTACACCAGCTTACATAATTTCTCAATAATTTATTTTTTAAAAATATATTTTATAATTTTAAAATTATTTGTTTACTGACATTATGTCATTTAATATTTTAATAGAGCTCTATAAAAATTTAACTACTTAATCAACGTTTCATTAATATCAAATTAATAAAAACATAAATATTAAAAAATAAATTTATCATGGTACCAAAAAAATGTAATCACAATTGTAACATTTTCCTTTGAATACAAAATAAATTAATTTTTTAAAAGTTATAAGTATAATTAAAGTGCAATTATAAATATAATTATATATCATACAATCAAATAGTTTCACTATATAATTGATCATTATAATGTTGATTGAAATATAATCAAATAAACTTTTTTTACTTATATGAGAATAAATTAAGGACGGGTCATCATTAGTTAGACACGATTTAAGGCATAGTTAAAATTTAGAATTTTATTTATTAATCTAAAGTGATTACAAGTAGTATTTGTTCTAAAGATTTTCAACCATTTAATAATGAAAATACATCCTTCATAAGTAGATAATGTATCATGTTAAGGGTGATAAATTCTCCCATGTGAATAAGAGTGATAAATTCCTTTTGCCCTGAATACATCCTTCATAAGTAGATAATGTATCATGTTAAGGGTATTAAGCTACTTAAATATATACTATTATGCATTTATATAATATTTTAAGAGAGTGAACAAGCTATGATTGTAGAAAAGACATAAAGGCGTGCGAAGCAAGAATTATGCATAGTATGAATTGTACATATGATTATGCAGTTATGCTACCTTGATTGATTTTATGTGAAAAATATTGACATGTGTGACCTATGTACATTATTGTATGTTGTAACCGTATGTGGCAGTAAAATATTGGATATTCATGCATGCTTAGCATGATGCTTAGTGAGATTATGTAACCTCTTTTAATAGACGTGAAAATTATTATTAATACTATGTAAGATCGAGTTCTCTTTTATAATCTGTGATCAATTGTTATGTGAGGTCGAGAAAAATATATGTGATGTAACATTGATGAAAATTATTACTGATGCTTTGTGAAATTGGATCCCTCATCATGATTACATTATTATTATGTGATACTAAGTGCCATTGTTATTTGTAGGCATAAGCTTAATGTATAAACTGAACGTTACTTGATGCTAGGTAAGACTATATATGATAGTTATTATCTAACGTCAGGTGATACCATATATCTTATTACTATTAAAATGATTATGAGAATAAATTATAGTCATTGACTAGTATATGACTGACAGCACTTTTCGAGTAGTGTGCGAAAGTATATTAATAAGCGTGATTTTCATGGAATGGTAAATCTTATGTTTTGAGATATTCCCTAAATTTGAGAAAAAAAAGTTGAACCTCTATAGATAGGAAAGAGATCTACATATATTACTTGATTCATTTATGCTTATATTTTATTTATACCCTTACGTATATGTACTCCATGAAATATAGTAGAGTAGATATGTACCACTGAACTTACTCGGCTCAACTTGCATACAATGCCCAAGTTACATGTTTTGTGAATTGTGATGGGACAACATCATCATCGGACGAGTCTCAATGGGAATCTCAAGTACTGTAAATGACTTCTTAGGTGGACATGTAAGAATTTTTTTCAGTTTCGAATAAACTTGTGTTTATTTTTAATATTATTGTTGAAAGTTAAGAGCTCCAAATTTTGTATAACTGGTTTTAATAAAATATTTTGAGTTTTTATTTTTAAAATTTTTTAATTTCGTGATATTTGTAAATTCGTCGGAATGTGCTCTTCAGATTTAGGATGTTACATTTCATGCACATTTTGTAATAAAATAAAATATTCAATGTCAATGTGTAACCTTTTTGAATGTAAAAGGAAATCCCTATTTGTGTTGGGTGCAGCAGTGATGTGTTTGACAAATTGAGGGAAAGATCTCCCATAACTTAGAAGGTGGCGGGGACAGCTAATTAACCATTCAACAACAAAAGATTAAGCCATAAATTGTATCTACATATCAGCTTATCATCATCATGTGATACATAGAATTCGGACACGCAACTCCATTTGTTTTAGGTCAAAACATATCTCCATCTGTTACTAAGCATTTCTAAAAACAAGTGGCGGATCTAAAAATTAAAAAATGAGATTTAAAATTTTAATATTTTATTTCCTAAAAAGTTGGATATAAAAATTTCTTTATTTTTTTCATTCCCATTAATATATTAAACTAGATTTAGTCATTTTTTCCAAAATAATAAGTATGCAATTTAACCCTATAAAAACCGCATACATCCGCCCCCGCTTAAGAACACAGCTCACGGCCTCCTTCTCCATTTTGACCTGTGTGAACAATGTCATTATAATTTCCAACGTCGTGTACACGGCCTCATTAATTCTCTGATGTTTACATTGATATTTGTTAAATTATTGATGCTTAACTTTAATTAAATTAAAAAATATCTAAATATGTATGTCGTATAAAAAAACCTTAAACGATTATTATAAACGAACACCTCCCTCGTTTGTTTATAACATATAAGTGGAAATATAATTTACTAATAAAGGGTGTGTTTTAAGATGCCTACCATACATAATTAGTTAATATACAAAAATAGAAATGATGAATTAATTACAAATTAAACTACAAACAAATAAATCTTAAAATGAAAATCATTTGATTAAAATATTCAATAAAAAATATAAAAATTCATAAGTAAATAAGAATATACTTATCACTAATATAACTTTATTTTAGTTATTTTTATTATATTATATTTTGAAATTTACATATATTACATAATTAATTATATCCATTACTCAATTTTAAATAAAATATCAAACAAATTTTATAAATAAATTCAATATTTAATTTTTCAACAGTTATTTTTTAAATTTATGTAATGACACCATTAATTTAAAATTTAAGGGATTTAGAGATAATTTGAGGAATTTACACAAAAATCAATATATAGGCAAAATTTTGATTTACCTTGATGGAACTTGTACCTAATATTTCAATATTATATCTTCTAGGCCTTGGTTTTCTTTTCCATGGTCTCATTTGTTGGGTTTAGAGTATTTTTTAATATAATAATTTTAAACTATTTTGGATTTAAATGAATTTAGTTTTAGCTTCAAATAATTATATCGTCTCATAGTTGGGTTAGATTATTTTTTTAATTAACATATTTATTTTAAGACATTCGGATTGAATTAAGTTTCAACTTCGAAGAAAAATTTGCACATTTATGATTTTTCCAATTTCTTAAAATGTATTTATAACTAATTAGATCAATTCCCTTGGGAAGAAATAAAACAAAAGTAAAATCAATACCGAAAATATGACTTTTGCATTAGTTGTTAGGGTTTAGGGTTTAGTTATTACAATATATTATGTTCAAAATGATTGAGTAATGGACGAGAATCAATGCTCAAAGTAAATATTTGTGAATTATGTTAAGGAAAATGAAAAGTTTATATCCCACATTGGTGGGATACCAAGTGTGAGACATGTTTATATTTTCTGCTCTTTTAAAAAAAAATTAAGTGATATAAAAAGGCTCAATTGCAGTTCTTTGATCATTGCAGCTGTGCTATTGTTCTCTAGTATCGTAAGAGCGGATGACCTCAACGACTCTTCCAATATAATTCCATGACTATTGACACCGAGTAAATGATTTCCTTCGTCCTTAATTTTCTTTTAGGTTCAATTCAACATTTTATTATTTACCGAGGCACTTCCTACTGCTACATCTTACCAAAATTTTCTTCACTCATGATCTACAAAAGAGTGGAATCATTGTTATTCAACGATTCGATCACGTGAAAAATTGACAGACACATTTATTTAGGCACTTCCTACTGCTGCATTTGAGAGGTTAATTCTCAACATTGGACTACGTCGTTCAAGGATCTTCAATAATGCATATGAGAGGGAGTAAGTTATACTTTTTTCCCTCTCAATCAAGGTTTTGTTCTATTGATTTTCTTAATAAGAATTTTAATGCATGTTATATATATTAAATATATGTATAATCTTTCCGTCAATAAGATTTTTATTTTCATAAGGTTTTTATCTTAGTAAGGTTTTAACGAGACATTATCTATGTAGATATCCAAAGAGGAATCTTATGAATATTTATTCATGTAGATTTCCATCTTTATGTATAAGATAGGATTTTGATGTGCATAATTATCATGTCTTTAATATCCATTAATATTATAGTTATATATTACATCTACTACTTATGGGTATAAATATAAAGGTTTGAGAAGTCTCTTTATATGTTTCTCATACATATTGTTGTTATTCTTTGTTTATTTCTTTATTTTATAATAAAAATAAATAATATAAAAATGTAATATAAATAATATGATATTTATTAGAAATATAAAAATTTATTAATATAGAAATGGACATCATAATGAATATTAAAATCAAATTAAATAATATATTAAATGTTAAACATTTTATTTAATAATAGTAGTAGTGGGTTAAATGAAATAAAAATAAAGTAATTAAATAAATATCGACTCGGACTCGATTAAGGGATTTAAATTATCAAAATATTTTTTAAAATCTTTATAAAATTTAAAATTTTATATTTATTTTATCTAAACCCTAAATCCTAAAATAAACTTTTAAAAATTTGATAAAATTAAATCTCCTTATTTTTTTCATTCAAATAAACTCATATTATTTACGTTTACCGTTATGATAACGATAAATAAATTTTATTTTATATATAAACATTATCTAAATAAAAGGAAGCTATAATATAAATAAAAAGAATAATGAAGGTTAATATTATAATTTTTAACTTATTGAATTGTCGGGTTTTTTTTTTCTCTTCCTTT